CCCGTAAGTATTATAGAAGCGTCTCCCAACAGCACTCCATAGCAAAGGAACCCAACTGAGCCGCTCGAGTCCGAAAGAAGTGACAGATTCAAATGTAAAGCATAATAAAGGAATGCACTCAGCTAACGTACTTAAAATGGACGGCATGCACGGTCGCTTCAGAAAGAGTAACCAAAGTATCTAGGACGGCTTCAGGTGTTCATGGAACAATGTAAGCGGTAGCACACTGATTCTCCTACCCGAAGAAGTGCTTAGAAGGGATAAAATGTTTGGCGCTGAGAAATCTCTTTTTGTTGTGCCATGCCTTCTACATGCTTTCGGAAATGGAGTGGCTTTCAATGCGACCAGACCTATACTATTGTACCAGTTGAAGATCCCGACGGGAAAAAGAACTTGATTGGCCCGGACGGCGCATCCGGGATATGATGCGTGGACAGTGAGCAAGGTAAACGGCGCCATTTACGGCTCCACTACCTCAGCCCTCAAAAAAAATCACAGGAAGAATATGGAGCAGTATTTCACGGCTCCAGATTTCCCAGGATTACGCTGACAACGGAAGGTCATCGGGTCAGCATAACCAGCAGCCAACTGGAATGATTGGCATACCGTTGCAGCCATCTTGAGACGCTGAGTTCGAAGATGCTTTCCGTAATTCTTCAAATGGAGTTATAGAGCGGAAAAATGCAGCAGTAGTGGTCCGGGCTCACAGGTAAAGGAGGTCATTAAATCGAGTACATGGGGATTTGCTATTTCGCTCTTTAAATAATGAAACAAGAAAGACTTTTGATGTCATTACTCCATCGAAGCTTTCCTATAGATACCTGAGTGAAGAGCTTCTCAGCAGTTGAAGGTTATTTCGGTATTACGCAATTTCATATACCTCCTTTTCAACTGGCCCAGATGACTTCATGAACTTCCATTGTGAAAACTCGTGAGCAGAAGAGCGCATGATCATCAAAATCCCATTCACCACTGCCTCGTAAATTTTATTGTTCCTTGATAGTAAAGCGTCCGCTTCCTCCTTCCTCATTCTACTATTGTTTGATGAACTTCCCACACATTTTATGACTTCTCCGCTGAGGAAACTCGTTGTTTCTTAATGTTGTTGAATCGTTCTCATGACTTCCTGGCCAGTCACCAATGTTAAGCTGTCAGATCATGATCGACAGCCGGTGTAAAGTGGAATGGCACTCAGTTGGCTATGTAGTCTGGAACGCAGCCGTGGTGTAACCAATAACAATTAATCTCATTTGAAAAATGGATCAGTTGCCACCGCGGCGTTCCATTAGAAAAGCAATTGCTGCTGCGGCAATGGGCACAGCTCTCATTTGTATGCATCGCCCACCAGCATCGCCATGAACCCGCAGTGAACAATAAGTACAAATGGGTTGTCGTCAACCAGACATCAACTAATCGACTGTAATAGCCATGTATATACCCAACTCTCCACTACCAGTTGTGAATAGGATGACATGGAAAGGCGAACAGGATCAAACACACGGTGCTCCTCAATCATTTTTGAGATGCGCCATGCACTCGACATAAGCCTAAGAGGTTGCGGAGACAAGCGTGTCTTGCAATTATACACGAATGCTGACAGCAACACACAATAAAATTGTGGGTGTAAAGCAAAATTCGGGAGGAGAAGGTTGTTTCAAGCAACCTCTAGCATGAGTAATAATATGTTACTGTGCCGACTGTAGACCTCCGAATTTGATAATGGCAACTGCTACCGCCAAGGCCGACAGGTTAAGCATCTTAACGCACTACCACCGCTCCAATTTGAACCATGAGCGCTCAGACCAGACCAGACCCGGACCATGACCTAATCATACAGTAATGAGTGCCAACACTTGAGCTCATTCCATTCTTCATGAGAACCTAAGTAGTCAGACTGCCTGATGTCGACAAGTTGCGGGAGCCAATCTAGCATTCCATTGAAGATGCCTAAGGTATTATAGAATGCGTAACTATAGCTCCTGCTCAGTGATCAATGGGAACCAGCAAGCCATACCGAGTTTCGGAGAAGAACCGCGAATTACTTTAAACGACTTCGGGGAACATAAAGATCAGCTGGGCCGGATTGGGCGAAGGCTGTGGCATTGCGTTTTTCAGCTTTGTCGCATCATATTTATTGGGTCACTTTAACTCACGTGTGGTCTGACCTAATTGTCACAATTCTGGTGGTCCTCCCGTCGCAAGCCCTTTTTCACGAATTTACGAGCTCTAAAAGTTCGTAGCCGTAATAATCCGAATTCCACTAGCCATGAAGAATATCCCTAATCCAGATCCATATTACGTATCCGTGCACTAGAACGATCCAACTTGATTCACGTATGCATGGTCACCAGTATACTCATCCATCATTTTCACATTATATGGGCCGTCGCTTTGCGCAGCACGACGTACATCATCGCCGTCACGCAGCACGATCTTACCATTCCTATACAACAAGGAGATATTCTCCTAACGGTGTTGTATGATGGAACAAGGTTCCTAAACCACAGATCCGTCGAAAGGAGCTAGCATAATGTCAAACCAAGTCCACGAGAACTGCAGTACAGCCTTTTACTCTTGGTTGCCGACATACGAAGCACAGTTTACTGCCTCTTTTCGAAAAAGTTCACTGTCACTGTCACTTCCCTTGTACTGCAGAAAAGCATGGAGAGCGGCTAAAAGCACTTGTTTGTAATATTTGAGGGATCCCGAAGCCATATCAGGCCAGATTTCCTTCGTTTTGAGTGTGGCTAATTAGTCCAGAGTCGTGGACGAAAATAAAGACCAATTCAGGCAACGGCTTGCTTACAGCCCACTAAATGCACCACTACTTCCAATTCTTCCATAATTCTTAAATGGTAGTCAAATGCAAGGCGTACTCCCCGAATGGAAGGGAAGAGTTGAGCACTATTTCGTTGTAACCTTCACTCAAAGACAGCCTGCTTAGACCTGAGCTGACACCGGAGATCAGTTCACTGGAACCACTGCAACCACTGAGCGACTTCAATTATAACTCCCACCCACTCAGGGGAATACACCTCGCCTGTTCTTTCATTTTTCTGTGACCTGTTTTTCACCTTGACCAAGCCCCCAAAATCATTCCACTCCCTCTTTCCGCCGGCCCGGCTCATTTTACAACACGATGGACTTCAAAAAACAGCAGCGCGAAACAGCCTGGCTTCCGCACACCTACCACACCCATCTGTTTCGGTCTCCCTTCATTTTTTGTCACCTCTTGCTGCTTGCGCCATTTCCGCTTGGTTTGAAACTAGAGCAGCTGTCCCCTTATGCCATAGTTATTCGAAAATGAACAAGAACTGCGTCACAGGGAAAGCGAAACTTTTACGGGGATGATCTATGATCTGTCACAGCCACGCCGTGTTTCCCTGAATACTTAGAGAAACCGATTTTACACCAACAGAAACTTCCTGTTTCCTTCACAACGGAAAGAATCCGCGGAGATTTTGAGCAATAAAACGACCCCAAAACAGTTTCACACCGTTCTTTGTACAAAACTGTATCTGTTTTCGCGCAAGGACATACGGAAGTTTACGACGATATCAAAACGCTACTATCAGCGCCTGACTGTGCTCAATAATCATTCAAACGGCTTCCTCGTCGGCCTCTACCAAAGATGAGCCATGCATTTGACTTCCTTCTAGGATTGTATGTGCCGCAACGGTCAATAGGTAAAACGACCCCTCGTTTCCACGCCGCTGATCCAAATCTAATGTTAAGGAGT